GAATAGAGCTTAGTAAAAGCATATATGGATTTCAGATTGCTAAAGTAATCTTGGAGGACAAAAATCGTTCAGCTATGAAGGTGACATTAGCCCATGCATAATTACATTGTTTAATCAAAAGACACAACAATGAGAACCACTATTACCACGTTAAGGTCCTTTCCGGGGTAAGAAATAAGAAGTTCTAAACCAGTTAAGTTAGAGCTGTCTGGTTGTTCCATTGCGAAGAATCAAGTTGTCTTGCATGTAAGAATGTTCTTTGTGTGATAGTTATCAATTCCAATATTAAATGAAAATTCATATTTTTGTCAACCTTTAAGTCCGTAAGCGTCTAAGAGTTTGTAAACCTTCTACGTCTGTAAGCATCGTCCTTTACGCTTCAAAAGAGACCAGAACAATTTTTCGAAAAGTTTCTGAACGGGTTCTTTACTAGATGAGATTAAACTATACTTTATTCCAATTCCTTTCGTAAATAATCAGTTGTCTTTTACATAAAAGCCTAATCGTAATCCCGGGATAAATTTTCCCTTTTAAGGATATTGGTGATGATTGCAGCGTTCAGATGAACCTTGATTGAACTGTACAAGCGAACAAAACAACAAATGCGTGAACCACTGGGTTTTAACCAACAAGATTATATTAGCTGTCTTCACAATGGTACCACAATGCTAACTTATTATTCCCGCTCTTCATAGTGACTAAAAAGGTTTTTTTAACTTGTGTAAAGCCTGTTATAACATAGCTAGTAAATTTGTGTAATCAAATTCGATTGCGCGAACGCCTACGCCTCGAGCAACTCTTACGCTTCTTTCGTGCTCTTCAAACTTCCCAAGCGCTTCACATCTCAATGAAAGCACGCTAACGTATGAACCAATTGTTAATTATGAAATGAATAAATTACTGCCCGCTCAGTGAAGGGTCATTTCCGATGATATACGAGAGCGTTGACACTCTGCTTCATTCACGAGTTTAAAAAATAAACTGGCTTTGAATTTATACTGACCTAAAGATAACATTTTTGGGATCAAACCCTGCGTCTGTAGTTTATATTCTTCTTTGCTTTATTTCGCAGTTCAGAACAAACCCATTTCATTTTTACATATTGCGGTTCAGTCACAGGTCAAGACAGTCGCCTAAAGAAGTTAACACACCCAAGGAATACTCACCCACAGCTAATGTTCAAACCAAATTTATACGCATATACGTCAAATGAGGTTTACTATGACTTAAAAAACAAGGAAAATGAAGTCAATGAGTTAAACTGGCCAAAAAGCGCACGACAATTCTATGATAGATTTTGTAAAATAACCACTGGTTTGTTTGACGATAACGGAAGAAGTAAAAGGAACAAAAGGGTTTTCAGACAAAAACAGCCTCTTTGTAAAACCCTTTATTTCACCTCATTTGCCAGTAATTTCTCTGGTTACCATTAACGATTCTTTGACCTTGTTTTACATTCTCTTGAGAGCCACCTATTGATATCTTGCTGATTTTTTCCGCGTTTTATTTTTTGATCTCGTAAACACTGAAAATAATATTGACCTGAACATAATTAACTAGTTCCTTGTTAAAATACATTCATGTAATAACCTCAAACAACTTAATTAGTCGTTAGAGTTTGTTCGATAAATAACTAATACCAGGTACAATAAAGGAAAAAAAATTGCAGACTTGAAGTGCCTCTCACAAAAACCTTATCTCGGCAGCATTTGTTAATATTTCTCGGTTTATAATTCTTCGAATTCCTCTTCAGAGCCGAGTATTGATTACTGACAACACTGTTGTGTTTATTTTTAACCCTTGAATGCGGAATTTGGTAGAGACGTTTAGGTAATAGTAATAAAGACAATGAAAAAAATTAAAACTGGAAAATTCCTTGTTGAAGGACCTGCAGGCACTAAACTCAAAAAACTAATTAAATCAAAGCTACATCATAGATGTATGACCCAAAAATAAATTTAAGTCAACATCTTTTGAGACTTTAATTTAGATCCCTCAAGTAATCTTGAATGCGAAAACTGCAAGGCAATGAGGGTAAATTGGGCAGGTCAGCATCTGACGTAATAGCTTGTTTAACACTTGTTTACGCGTTAGTATCGAAAGAATAAATCATCCGCGACCATTAGAGGCAATGAAAAACATCACACCAAATTCAAATATTGCTTTCATAATTCTTTACCGTACTGACCAGTAATTTCTCTGGTTATTATTCTTCGACCTTATTTTACATTCTCTTGAGAGCTGCTTATTGATCTCGTAAACGCGGAAAATAATATTGACCCTTAACAGTTAACGAGTTCCTTGTTGGAAGACATCCATGCACTAAGCTCAAACAATTAGTTAAGTAGTCGTTAGAGCTTGTTTGATAAATATCCAAACTAGCGGGTACAATACAGAAAAAAGGGTTTGCAGACTTGAAGTGCCTCTCACAAAAACCTGATCTCGGCAGCATTTGTCAATATTGCTCAGGTTATATTTCTTCAACTTCTACCTTCTCTTGAGGGCCGAGTATTCATTACTAACAATACCGTTGTGTTTTTTTTTAACCAATGAATGCGGAATTTGGTAGAGACCTTTAGTTAATAGTAATAATGGCATAATAGATTTTGTCGGAGGACACACACGTACAAAACTCAAACAACTATTAAATCAAAGCTACAGTTAATTAATGTATAAACCAAGAATAAATATAAGTCAACATCTTTTGGGACCTCAGACTTCTAAAGTAATCTTGAATGCGAAAACTGCAAGGTAATGCAAATAAAATTAAGCCAAATGTTATCATTTCAACTGCAACCTTTTTGACGAGCCGCCTTTTCTAAAATTACAGACAAATCAAGTATTTTCCCTGTGTGATGAATCGATCGATAAAAAACCATTGTCTGGGGCAAACAATTATTTCAATGGCATTCAAAACTGACCACAACAAAAGACACAATAAGCTGAAAGAGTTCCTGTTTGGGGTTATAAATTAAGAAGTTTTAAGTCAGAAAAGTTAGAGCTATTTGTTCGTTCCAACGCAAAGAATCAACTGACTTGAAGGTAAGAATGAACTTTATGCTAAGTTAGTTATCAATACCAAGACTAACATCAATATTTCGTGAAGGTCTTTCAAATTATCATCTAGTTCTGTAAGCGCTTTATAAGCATATAAGCATCATTCTCGCGTCCGAATAGATCAAAAAAAAATCTCGAAGGGTTTCGGAAAGGGTTCCAAAAGATATCAGATTAAGCCATATTTTGTTGCTTTCCATCCGAAAAGAATCGCCTGTTTTCAAATAAAAGACTTGCTCGTAATCACCGGATTAATTATCCCTTTTAGGGATATTGGTGGTGATTGCAGCATTCAAATCAGGAACAGAAAATACAAACACAGCAAAAAATTCCAAGACAACTAATTTTACACAAATATGATTAAATTGGCTTTCTTCGATCCATCATGCAACAATGGTACCACGGTGCTAACTTTTTATTCTCATTTTTCTTAACGACTTAAAGGGTCTTTTGTCTGATTGACAGCCTGTTGTAAAGTGAATTGAAAAAGGTCCTCGCCGATGAACTATCAGAGCACCGACACTAGGCTCTACACACGAGTATGAAAAAGAAATGACTTTAAAAACATGCTGAGCTAAATGTAATATCCATCTTCGTTTGTTTGTTTGTTTGTTTGTTCTCTGGTTTTATTTCACTCTGCAGAAGAGACGCGATAATGCGATATTGCAGCTCAGAAAAAGTTCAGGCATTCGCCAAAATTAAATAACATACACTTGGCGGAACCTCATGGCCCAATTGCTCACAGCTATTGTTCAAATCAAATTACTGACGTCAATTGTGGTTTAGAACCAGTGATTTCCTTGTTGGAGGACACCCTAGCACTACATTTCATTTGCTATACATCTCCGCAGCATAATAGTATGACAAAATTATTTATGCCCAAGGAATAAGTTTTTTTTAGTAAACATTCTTATGGACTTCGGATTGCCAAAGTTATCTTGTAAGTGAACATGAACGGTTTAACTAAGCAAGGGTCATTAGGCCATGCATGATAATTATATGAAAAGTAGAAACCATTCTATGCTTTTAAAATTGTGAACCAAACTCGTGCTCACACAATATTTTACATCTGCGTTTTAAAGTACTTTCCGTGCACTCTCTAAGCTTAAACATGCAACCGTACAGATAGAAATGAGAAATTTAAGGCAGAGTTCACAAGACATGCAAATCTGCAACAAAGAACTGTATACATATTAAAAGGTGATTGGGATTATACGAGATTGCTTTCTAAAGCAGACATAACTGACATTAGTATTTTAAATGAAACTTCTTTGGGATGATTTGCGAAAGCCAGTACCGGCAAACAGCGGACAGCTCTCTCTTGCAAATATATTTTGACGCTCAATTGTGAACTGTTCAAACGTTTGAAAAGTTTACACTACAATTCATTGGGATGAAAAATTTATTTCTTAATCTCTCAGTTACCAGAGAGTGAAGACTTTGACCCCTTACTTTGCGGTGATTAATTTTCAACAATAATCTTGTTAGCTTCACGAAAGGATTCATCAACAAAGCAAACCTTACCTCAATCGCAGAAAGCGGCCGTTAACATGTAGTAGCCCATCACCATCCTTTCACGATAGAATGAGTTGGGAAATATCGCCATTAATGGTTTGTTGTCAGAGAATATTAAAACTCTCCATACTTTTGCTATCACATGCCATAAATCTGACGAGGGGTTTGAATCCGCAACGGCGACTGCCAAGGTCAGACGTCGGATGCGGAGATGTCTTCAGTATTTGTTGATCAAACATTTCATCAATAATTCCTTGAAACACGCTATATGAGTTGTCCAAACGTATTCTTGCGTAGATTTACCAAGACAATTTTTGCGAATTAGTATTAAATTAGCGTATGAGTTAGCTTTGAGAGAAAAACTTGCAAAGGGTTGCTCTAATTTCAGACTTTCATGTGTTAATGCGCATGTCCAAAATGAAGTTTTTATGCGCCGGTGGCCTTGATCGAGTTTTAGTGGTTTTCATTAGGAAAGTATCCACCTCGATTTCAAAGAATAAGTTCAAATCAAGTTTTATGTTGCTGTGACGCAGAAACCACCAAAGAAACAATCTAGTCTTGCCCTTAAAAAGAATCACGGCAAGTTTTAGAAGCTTTTATTTTGCAAAAATGAGGTTAATGTTGCTTATAAAGATTTCAAGTTTAATTTTAAAAGCAGTAATGTCAATTCATATTAATAATGAATTGATTGACCTTTATGTTGACGACTCCAAGTTTCTTCATTTTTCTCTTCATTAGAAAACATGGCAGGATATTTTCTCAGTGCTTTGCTGCTTATCTTGGTTCTGAGATTTGAGCAGGGATCCTCTTCTGTTTTCAACGACCCAGACCGGTTAGAAGGAGACACCTATACCACAGCAGACGTGGCGGATGACCTTGCCGAGCTGAATGATCTGGAAATGGAACAGTTGCAAGACAGCGTGTCGGCCAACGTCTGCAAAGACATCAGAGATGAATTCAAAGACGTGGCGAAAAAGTCCATGGCTGAAGCCAAAAAAGAAAAACCTGATAGCCTGATATTTTGGAGACAGGAAGCAGTTAGACGAAGTCTGAGAAGAAGCTTTCAGATACTACAACATGGTAAAAGATCAAAGGTGGACAACTCGATAGCGGTGAGGGCATTACGCAACGAAGCTTGTGCCAAGCATGCCATACAAGACATTTGTGAGACGACGAAGGTTTTGGACCTTTTAAACATACCTTTGAATACAAGAAAGTAAGTGTTTCCAAAAGCAGGACACAAAAATGACGTTCAGAGCTCAGTTACTTAAACTTACATTTTCAAAAATATCAAATTTAAAACCTTAAAATGCGCGCAAGTTATTTAGAAAAATGTATTTCAGTAAAAAAGTTGATGATCCTTCAAGGTGTCATGATCTCCATTAAGCAGGAACTCCTTAGCGACCTTGCTGCACCAAACAGCTCAACCGAACTCGAACCGAATTAGACTCCACTCAGTACAATTACTATTGCTAAAACCTTTTAAATGATATAAAGTTTGGGGTGGTTTGTTAAAAAGAAGCGCGCGCACGAATTTTTTTCTTTTGTTTCAGCTCTTTAAGACACCCGCGAAGGATTGGATTAACCTTAATTCCTCAATTTTTCTTTGAACGAAAATCTGAACTCTTTCTCTCCAAAACATATTTTACTCTTGAGCTTAAGCCTACGTTTTTCTTTACACCGTAATTTGTTGAGCCAAAGCTGCTAAAGTCAACCCTGGCCACGGCACCTCAACCTTGCTAATACCTTTATCGTCCTTTATAATTACTGGCGCGTTTCTTTTTTCATTTATAGCATTTCCAAATTTGTGGTGGCATTTTAGTTTCTAACGGAACTCTGTTAATAAACAAGTTATGTTTACTTTTCTCTTCAGGAGGAGGAGAAGAAGGATATGCAAGAGGAAGGTTCTTAAATGTTTAGAACACGAACCCCTGGGGAACATAAAATGTCCACATAAGTCTCAGGAGAAAGCCCGTTTTAGAACAATTGATGGAACTTGCAATAACGTGAATCAACCCCTTTTT